ACGGTGGCACAGATGAGGACGTCAAAACCAGGATTGGAAAAGCAAGGCAGGCGTTCATTAAGCTGAAACCAGTGCGCAGATCTTCTGCACTCAGCATAAAGTATGAACAACATCGGGATTTTCAACACCAATCCAGTCAAGTAAGTCAGTACTTCTATGTAATGGTTAAGAAACTTGGCGTGTCACGAAAAGCATTTCCAGCAAACTACAGACATTCATCAACAGTTGCCTACGCTCGCTGCTTAAGCTCAGACGGCCAGAATAATCAGAATAAGCAGCAAGGAACTCTGGGTACGAACCAACCAAAAACCTATCACGCAATAAATATGTAGAAGGAAGTGGAGATGGATTGGGCATTCACTGAGAAGGCCGATTGGGGACATTACTCGCCAGGCATTCGAGTGGAACCCAGATGGGAAACGACAAGTTGGGCTTCCGAGGTGAGGATGACATGGAGGAGATCGTGTGAGTAAGAAATAAGAGCTTGTGGGCAGTGGTGGAGCCAGGTTCAAAAGTTTGCAGAGAACAGAGTGCACTGGAGACGTGTTACTGAAGCTGTATGTTCCATTAGGAACCCAAGGGACAAATAATATAATAATAATAATAATAATGCGAAACAGTATTAGGTAACAGGTTTTCGCGGACGAAATTCTGTGAAAAACTGTTCACTTTTGTTGCACTTATAGTTATTAAGTGAAACATTTGTATGAATACTCTTTTCGATCAACACTATGCTTCATAGCATCTTAGGGAATATACAATTTTCCATGGCACGAAGCATTGGCAGACAATTTTCTCAAAGTTTCTGCCAATTTGTAATCTAATACCTACTTGTTCGAAACCGTAAAATCCACGCAAAAGTTAAAAGCTTTACAATTTCATCTGAATTCTTTATATATTGTTAACATACACATTGAATGAATGTTATTTGTTTAAAGGCAAACGGTAGGAAGCGTTGAATTTAAGTTTTTAGTGGGACTTGTCTGCAACTTCTAGGGGTCTGGTGTTTCTTCAGGGATTTGAACCTGTCGTCACCTAATGCCTGTAGTCAACGAGGTTGGCATTCATGACAGAATAGCTCAGTGGTATCGTTGTTGGCTGGGGGTGGCGGTCAATGTATGACATGGCTACATGGGATGAAGGAAACTTGTATGGGGTTAGCACCTCTTGGTGCATCATGACTCCCTGGGTGTGGCCCCAGAGATCCGGCAACTCAGTGACTAAAGATGTTATCAGATATGGCTGAAAATCGAGACCGGTATGGGGTCATGCTATATCCTACTCGACTGCTCTTCTAATCATTATATTCTGATTGTGTATTTCCTCTTTGTTTATCCATGCGTCTTATGTCTGTCTCTTTACCCTGCCTATACTCAGTGTAACAATTCATAGCGATGCACAGTTACTTTGAGTTTTTAGATTATTTTCGCCTATGCATTGGTGTATTGTTAGGTTTTTTTCCGTTCCCAGATCAATATTTATTGACTGAGATATATTTAAATTTTTGAGGGGGTTGTAGAGATTTGGAAATATTTCAAGTTGTTATTCATCGAAGACTGACATCAGTTGGAGGAACAAAGGGAACCTGGGAGCACTGGACAGCTGTCTCGAACTAATATGGGACTCCTCAGCAGCGCGCAACTGCGACCCCGCCAGGCATCGAACCAGCGACCTTCAGCCTACGTGGCCAGCACGTTACCATCGAGCCACTGGGCCAGAATCTAACCGTCCATATTTCCAACTTCTGTTAGCTCACGATATAGCGCAACCGCCAGCCAATGTCATCGTTGGGTATCTGTCCTCATGACCATCAGGCAGTTGCGCTATATCGTGAGCTAACAGAAGTTGGAAATATGGACGACTGGATTCTGGCCTAGTGGCTCGATGGTAACGTGCTGGCCACGGAAGCTGAAGGTCTCGGGTTCGATCCCTGGCGGCCAGGGTTGTGGGTGCGCACTACTGAGGAGTCCTATACTAAGGCGAAACAGCTGTTCAGTGCTCCCAGGTTTCCTTTGTTCCTCTAACTGATGTCAGTCTACGATGAATGACAACTTGAGATATATTTGTTATTTGTTAGTTCCGATTATTTTTCTTGTAAAATTTAATTTTGCACTCCAGTGTGAAGTCTTATTGATTCCCAGTTTAATGATATTTTTCTCCCTTCACTCATGCAAAGCGAATTATTCACCCTATTATGTTGAACTAGGAGAAATATTGGATTTCATGTTACCTATGATAGTTGTAAGCAAGTAGAACAAGTCAAGATAAATGATGAGGTTGTAAATCTGTTGTTTGCATAACACAGTATTATTTGATCTAACATCTTACCTTTTTTTGTCAATATTTCAATGATGAATTAACCGAAGAGAAGCATAACGGCACCAATGGGAACTAAAGTCATAAAAAGGCAAGATAAAATAGTCAGTTAGTTGGTTATTTTCAACATAACATCTGACATTACTGCCTAACGGTCAAAGTTGGAACAGTTGACATCAGCACATCAAGATACAGGGTGTGAAGATGCCGGAAAGTAATCTAAAGTAGTAGAAAGACAGATAAGACCAACACAGAACCTCGCATACAAGTTCATCGGCTCAAGTTACGACACTTCACAGTTGTATATAAAAAAAAATATTTGTCATTATCATTATTATTATTATTATTTCCTATTAGTCCCTTGGGTTCCCAGTGGAACATAGGACTTCAGTAGCACGTTGCCATTTCACTCTGTTCTCTGCAGTCTGCTCAACCTGGCTTCACGACTGCCCACAAGCTTTCATTTCTCCCTCACACCATCTCCTTCATGTCACCCTCACCTCGGATGCCCAACTAATCGTTTTCCCTTTGGGTCCCACTCGAAGGCCTGGCCTGACGCGTGATGTCCCCAAATCTTCTTCTCAGTGTATGTACAGTCCACTCCATTTCCACTTTCTTCTTCATATTCGTTAGGCGATAGATTGTTGATTGGTTCGTTGCCAACCAGATTTTCTTGTTGCTTATTCTTATTATTCTGGCCATCCAATTTTCAGTATCAGTATGGAATGAGGGCAGCTGTTGATGTAGTGTATGGGTGTCGTTTGTTGGGAATGCTTTTCGTAATGAGCCAAGTTTCTGAACCATATAGAAGCACTCACTTGACGTTAGTGTTGAAAATCCTGATCTTAATCACGCTTTATGCTGAGTGGAGTGCACACTGATTTCAGAATAATGCAGGAAGGCCTGTCTTGCTGCCTTTCTTATGCTGGCTTTAACGTCTTCATCTATGCGGCCACCTGTAGTTGAGACGATGGTGCCTAGTTAGGTGAGAAATACGACTTCGTTTAGATTTCTCCCGTTGATGATGCTTGTTGTTGGTTGGGTATCTTTATCACCTCTGTGTTCTCCACGTTCACCTGAACCCCCTCCTTCCTTCACTGCCTCGTTTCTTCGGCCAACTTGTTAGTTTTTGCCTACAGATCTTCGAGTTTGTGCGACAAGACATTAGACATAAGTTGTCATCGGCAAAATCCAAATCTTCTAGGGTGTTTCCATCGGTCAAGCAGCGTATGCATTACTCATCATCATCATCGATCAACATTACATGAGCCATTACTGTGTAACGGTCCAACTTGCCACACCTCATATCACCACATCAAGTAAACAAGGCAATCAAGTGGAAGATGAGGGAAACAGAATTCACTGAAAACAAATATTACGTACTAAAAGAGAGAAAGGAAGAATGAGAAAATGGTGACATTGAGTGTAGCGTTGTTAAGATGAGGATAATGTGTGCATGTGTATACATCTTGCCACTGACATCGGTTCTGAGCCATGTGATCACCTAGAGTCAGTCTCCAACCACTGGTTCGTCTTGTCACGCGGACCCGAAACGACTAGTCTGCATCATCACCCCACATGACTGAAACCGACAGTCAAGCACCTGATACATTGATGTCATGTTTTAGTCTGGCCGTCTCGAGCCATTTTCCAACGTGAACCTACTTTAGGCAACATTGTGAGACGAGGCAACCGGTGACTATGCATACGTAATACGTGTCCCAACTATCTTAATTTATGATGGTTCAAAGGCCTGTCAACTAACTGTTTTACCTCTTCTCCTCAAAGCTGTACACCGGAGCCTGACTTCTTCGTTACTCACGTGGTGACACGACGGAATACGGCGTATACTACTAACCTTCTCAAATCTTCTACTTTGAATGGTCATGTTTGGGGGCCATAGAGTAGAACAGATTGTAGTGTCGTGCAGTACACACGATCCTTAATCGACAATTGGATATCACGGCGGTGTCACAGGTGGTGTAAGTTGTCAGAAGCGAATTGAGTCTTTTGTATGTGTGCAGAGATTTCATTGGTGACTGAGCCACCAGGGTAGTGCTGATTTAACTTTCCATGTAAGTGAAGTGGTGGACACACCACTAGTAGAGTGTTTATTGTCAGCCGAGGTACAGTTGAAGACCAACTGTGAAGCAACAGTTTGCATTTGGGTGGTGAGAAATGTTTTGTAAACATTTTCAAATGGTCTCTCAGAGTGTCCAGAAGACCCTGCGTCTTGTCATAGTCTTCACTTAACAGCGTTACTCATCACCTCATAGTAGGTAGGTTAGCTGCTCATGCAGTGGTGACGGACCAAGACGTGGTACTAGTCGATAGAGTCGCTGACTGTTGGTTCGAGCTGTGTATGTGGTGTCGATTACCTGACTGGGGTCTCCAAATCTTGGTAGCTATTGGTGGATTTGAATCTATGATTGGGCTGATTAAATAGCTTATTGTTTCACAAATCAGTGGCCTCCCTCATCTCACCTGTTATCATTCGATGCTGAAAACGATCTTCAAACTAACAAACAGTGTTATTATTTCTCTTATTACTGAGATTATAAGCTAAACTACTTTTAAAAATACAATTATGTTTAGTGTGTCTACTTAATATATCTTGTCAATTTAATTCATTTTTCGTTCTTTATTTTTCTTGTTTCCCTCCAATCCCGTTCTTATTTCTTTAGACAACCATCGAAGCCGAATAACCCCGGCAGTGGTAGTATAATGCCAAGTAGTGCAAGTTTAACAGCTGCCAAATTTATGATGAAATAATGGGGGATGGGGAGGGGGGGCGAAGTATACCGGTTGATTATTTGCTTGTTCACCTTTAACACTGCTGATCAAACATACACACTTATACACAGTAACAATATTTTCGATGAATTTTTTCATGTTTGTATTTTGTTGACCGTTATTGTGATCATTTTTGATTTCTGTTTTGTTTCATATTTGCCTTTTTGTTTTTGGTTGTTAAATGACAATACATATTATACTATGGTGTCGTTGTAATATTTGTTTATTACGTCACAATGACTTGCCTACCAGTTTATTGTTTCATTGCCTTCTGGATGACGTTTTCATTCCTTTGTTGTCCAGCAATTGAGTGCCTTTCAAGTAATGATTATTGCCATTGTTATTCTATTGTTACTGAGTTGAATCTCTATCGATGTGCAACGTGCCTTTCTTAGTTGTCTCTCCTCTCTCTCTCTCTCTTTCCCTTCGTTTTTCGCTTCCTTCTCCGTTTGTTATTCTTTGCATCGTGTACACAACGTCAGTATAAAAATATATGAGGTAGGCTCTGACCTTCATCTTTTCTTATTTCAATGGAATTGATCGTGATTGTTTATTGATTAATGATTAAGAAGGTTCAATGAAATGTTGGTTATTTTTGTGCAAGTGTTTTCTTGTTATCTACGTATTGGTCTTTTGTGATACATACAGACAAACCGAAAGATACACACATACAGAAGTGGGACGCTTTTTCTTCACTGATATATATTAGTAAAGAATATCAAACCAAAGAGTAGTTAGATAATCTTCTTTCTACACTTGTATGTTCTGATGCGACCGCACGCACTCACATACGCACATCTGCACAGTCGTTATGATTCCATACAATTTTCTTCAGTCTCTCTTGTCGGTTCTCATTTTTCTTTTTCTCTATGAAACATTTCACTAATATCGATGATGATGATGGTACGGATGACGGCTTAACTACTTCAACAAATTACTCTTGATATATTTATGCTAATTGTTTGTGCGTGTATATGACAGAGAAAGAGAACAAGAAAGAGTTACACAATAAAAATTGACCAACTTGTAACATGTTCACTTCTGTTGTCCTCGTTCCTTTCGTTGTGTGTATGTCGTTGAATGTTTGTGTGTGTGTGTTGCTGTGAAGTGCTTGTTTACTCTGTTGTAAGTTTACGTATGAATTAGAACCTGGGTATCAGTTGTTGATCGGTTATTGATTTTCAGATTTGTTTGATATGATTGGTTTTTTATCATGTCAATGTCAGCATATAGTTGTGATTCTCACCATAAGATGATAAGGGGGATAGGGTGGGAAACGCAAGATTGATGATGAATGTTGGCTGTCGAGCTCAGCTTGAAGTAGTAATTAGTGGATTACTGGCAGCTGAATTGACGAGTTATATTCGCTCTATTTAGATCTCGAAACTTTAGAGAGAGAGAGAGGCTTGATATAAAACACCATCACTTTACAAGACAATTCAAAGAACTGGGGATTAGAGAAAAAGTGATATCGAAGTAGACAGAAATGCATGCATTTTGAGGGAGTTGTGGGATTTTGAAATATTTTAAGTTGTTATTCATCGTAGACTGACATCAGTTAGAGGAACAAAGGAAACCTGGGAGCACTGAACAGCTGTTTCGCCTTAGTATAGGACTCCTCAACAGTGCGCACCCACGACCCCAGCCGCCAGGGATCGAACCCGAGACCTTCAGCTTCCGTGGCCAGCACGTTACCATCGAGCCACTAGGCCAGAATCCAGTCGTCCATATTTCCAACTTCTGTTAGCTCACGATATAGCACAACCGCCTGATGGTCATGAGGACAGATACCCAACGATGACATTGGCTGGCGGTTTGCGCTATATCGTGAGCTAACAGAAGTTGGAAATATGGACGGTTAGATTCTGGCCCAGTGGCTCGATGGTAACGTGTTGGCCACGTAGGCTGAAGGTCGCTGGTTCGATGCCTGGTGGGGTCGCAGTTGCGCGCTGCTGAGGAGTCCCATATTAGGTCGAGACAGCTGTTCAGTGCTCCCAGATTTCCTTTTTTTCCTCCAACTGATGTCAGTCTACGATGAATAACAAGTTGGAATATTCCCAAATCCTCACAACTTCCTCAAAAATCAACCGAACTGAGGCTCATTGGTGACTAGCTTCGAGAGGTATTCTGGAAGTTCCTGTGAGAAGTGGTGACCGGTGGAGTCAAAGCTTGATGGTCGTGAGGACAGTTACAGGGACATCGAGTGGCGGTTGCGCTATATCGTGAGCGAAAATGCAGGCAGTTTGAAAGGATAAATAGATGGTAGGTAGTGAAAATATTGAAACTTTAGATGTTTCTTGTAGCTAATTTTGAAGCGATATCATCAAGACTCTCAAACCCACTGATCTTCTTCTCATCATCTTGACGACCCAAGCTATACAGTCTGTATCTTCCTACTGATGTTCAGAGACTATGTAGACTAATCTGGATTTGGTCACCCATAGGTTTCTTTCAGCACAATTCTAACTCATAAAAGTATCCAGATTGATTTGACAACTATTTCATAGTAGTTTGAAACTTTCTTCATTTGCCTTACTTTCACTATTCATAACTTTAACTTAGGTTCAGTTCATCTTGTTGTATTTGAAGTTACTACCTCAAGACTATTACACACCCTCATGTATAGTCTACTACTCTAAAGGTGTATCCAGTTACGACTTATGGAGTCCAAATGAATTCACTCCTTTATATTTACTAGAAAAACTTTTATGAGTTCTATACATAGTTGATTTACACTGGTGGGATGGAGGGGGGGGGGCGGGGATGGTTATATATATATATTTCTGGGAATTCAACCGTATTTGCCATCTAGAACTGATGTCGTCTAGCAAGACAATGAAAGCTTCAACCAGATAGTATTTTTATCTTCTCTCTATTCTTGTTCAACTTTGTCTTAGATGTTGTTATGGAAGGTTTCCTTCTCATCGTCTGACGTCAAAGGGATTGATCTTATCGCAGGAGAATACCTGATGGATCCAGATGAAGACGCTAACAACATGCAGAGTTTTCTGGAGGCCTTGAGTAGTGATTTGATAATGTCTGGGATGTATTTCTCGTCATCCTAATTCATTTTATTCCTCGAAGACTGGTCATCGATGGTGTCTTGTTTAACAACATGGAATGAAATAGTTGGGCTCGTTGACCACTTCACTGACCTAGGAAGTTGGATCAGCCCTGGTGGGGCAGTAGCCGATGATACAGAAGACTTGATTGGCTTTTGACAAGTTACGCCATGTATGGCGCCTGCGCTATATCCGATCGTCTATTCAGGGTCGACTATATTGTGGTACATGTCGTTCTGTTTTTTTTCTATGGTTGTGAAGCGTAGACATTAAAGTCAGAGAACAAATATCCGACCATCGTCACTTTCAAGGTACAGGTCGTGTGTCGTGGTGTTACCGGGACTGTGAGGTCATATATAGAGTTTTACGGAGGAGAGAAAGGTAATTTGCTGCTATTGGGAAGCTTTAATGACTAAGTTAGCTAGGACATGTGTTACGCATGCGTAGTCACGGTCCGCCTCGTCATATAATATCAACTGAATTAGGTGCAAGATAGAAAGGGGATTGGGGCGACCAGACTAAAAACATGACATCATTGCATGATGTATTTGACTGCTGGTCTGAGCTATGTAGAGCGATGCAGATTAGCCGGTTGGGGTCGAAGTGACAACAAAAACTAGTGGTTGAAGACTGTAAATGATATGGTTGAGAATCGATGTCACTGGCGCGGATATATTCATATTTTGTCTCCATCCTAGTTGCTATGCTGAATTCAGTATTTTCTCTCTTTAACTTCTTCTAGTCCAGCTCTTTAATGAAGCATTTGTTACTCAGTCATATGGTAATAGTCGTATATTTCGTAACACTGTCAGTTAATCTCACGTTGAAATTTTATTCACTTCTATGTTAATCGAAAGGTTATGACAGTTAGTTTTACATTGAAATTTCATACAATTAGTCTCTTTTATGCATTTGGATGATGTAGTTAAAGGATGTGACTAGTAAATATGTGTGATCTAATTGTTCGAAATGCATAGCGTGAATACATCAGACATGCAGGAGGTAGTCAACCGTTACCCGAATGGTTCACTGTAGCGCTAAGTGACGCTTGTTCAAATGTCTAAGTCAAGATATCAGTTCCGTCAAGGTTACGGATACACCTTGCTGATGAATGGCAATAGGCGCAAAACGAAAGTGAAGCAGGGTTCCCGCCAATCGCGTGCAACTGTATCTAACACTATATATCTCCGCATTATCTAGATTATACATAAATGTTTATTTTGAACTTTTCTGATTCATTTTTCTCTCTATAGTGTAATCAATGTCTTGGCTATCAGATCTAGCTAATAAAGCAGAGAATTTTCTCAATACCTTGGATAGTTCAGCTGCAGAAGTTCTCAAGTCAACTGATGAACACTATTATCCTGGTAGTGATGATCATAGTGATGTTGTGAACAAGTATAGTTTAAAACATCCTTAGATTTGGATTCCAGCATCAATTCATCTACTCGTTCAAGATATGATTTGCCAATTACAATTAAACCTATCGAGATGTTAAATATTACCGCCTTACAATCTGTAGAAGAAGGCAGTCAATGTTCAACTGTTAATTTTACTACCAGAAATAATTGTTCATTAGATATATCAAGACTGAATAATGAGGTTTATGGGGAATCTCGAGAACAAAATAAAAGTTGCAAGTAAGCGATTTTCAATTTCTTTAGTTATCTACATAATGTCTGTCATTTAGTACTGAAGTAGCGAATTGTTTATTCTCATCGTCAATTCATCTTCTGTTTTCCCAAAATGACATCAATGTATGAAGTGTTTGACTGTTGGTTTGAGCCATATGGGGCGATGGAGACTAACTGGTTGGGGTTCATGGGACAAGAGAAACCAGTGGTTGGAGACTGACTCTAGGTGATCATATGGCTCCCGATCGATAGCTGCTACCTTGACGTGGTGGTCGGGCTTGCATACTACAATGACCCAACGAGCTATGCTGGTGGAACGGTTGTTCCCTAGAGGTCCTACCATACCAGAAAGGTCTGTTGGATAGTGGTTAGACGAAAAGCAGTTACTGTTGTGGTGTAAATTACTAGACTATGGTGCGGGGGGGGGGTGATGGCAAAGTCGTACTGCTGCTAGCTGGATGGGGTGTGACAGCAGTAAGGTGTTTCCCTTGGATGACCAGCAGTGCCATGTTGATGCTGCCTTCTCAGTGGAAGCGGGGGGTGATTAGAAAAGGTCGGCCCAAAAATAACACACTCCACCGTGCCCCACGGTCTGCCGGGCTGGCGGTGTTGGTTCACTTGTCGTTTTCTTTCGACCATCCGACCCCAAAAATACAAAAGTTTAAAATAATCATAGTCAAAAGGCTGAGTGTGACAGTCCTCAAACAGATATCCGATGGATTGTGCTGTCATACAAATCTCTTTCAGGTACCTTGCAGGGTGTGGGCAGCCTGGAAGTGTCAACCGCCCTCACAACTCGATCAGCACTCAAAGATACATACACACTAGTTCTTTTTCCATATACTTCTTGGAAGAAATCGATAATAATGTAAAAATTAGGCATATGATCATATTATGTTTGTATTTCATTAGTACGAAACTGAGAAAGTGAGTATACTATGCCTAAGACGTTAGTTTTTGAAAAGCAAGACAGGTGTTCATTAGCCTGAAACCAGTGTAGAGATCTTCTGCACTGCACTCAACATGTGGAACAAGATCCGGATTTTCAACACCAATGTCAAGTCAGTGCTTCTGTATGGTTCAGAGACTTGGCGCGTCACGAAAGGGATTTCCAATAAACTACAGACATTCATCAATAACTGCTTACGCTTGCTACTGAAGATCAGATGGCCAGAATAGTGAGAATAAGCAACAAGGAACTCTGGGAACGAACCAACCAAGAACCTATCACTCAACAAATATGCACTGGGAGGAAGTGGAGATGGATTGGGCATGCACTGAGAAGGCCAACTGAGGACATCACGCGTCAGGCCAGTAGGTCGAGTGGAATCCCCATGGGAAGCGACGAGTTGGACGTCCCAGGTGAGGGTGACATGGAGGAGATCGTGCGAGGAGGAAATGAGAGCTTCTGGGCTGTCGTGGAACCAGGTTCAAAAGATCTCAGAGAACAGAGTTCACTGGAAACATGCTACTGAAGCCCTATGTTCCACTAGGAACCCAAGGGACTAATAATAATAATAATAATAATAATAATAAGACGTTAGTTTTTAATGTTCACTTCTCAGTATAGAGTCGATCTTTATTTCCTTGCCCATTATGTTGTAGGATATAATAACATTTCCCTTCTTTATTATTGATTGAAATCTCTAAGGAAAGCAACTATTATGGAAAAGAAATTAGACGATTCGGATCTTTTCAACTTTTTAAATAATCATACAAAAGTGAACAATACAGTCTCTAGTAGTAGTAGTAGTTCAGTGAATCAAATGGATACAAGAAATGATTCTTCTTTATCTATTGTTAATCAATTTGAAGAAGATCAAAGTAGTGGATATGAAACATCTTTATCAACAAAAACCTTTAATTCACCTATGAAAATAATTGATAATATAAATAATTCTAAAGGAGAAACAGTAATAACACCGACAACAACAACAACAACAACAAATGGATTACTTCAATCTGAAATCGGTATACATAAATCAATAGTGTTAAACAACAACTCAACTGAACAATTAACATTAAATATGAGTAGTAATCATTCATCAATTGTCAATGATCTTCGTTTAGAGAATAAACTATTACGTAGTGAAGTTTCATCATTAAATCAAGAAGTTTCTGGTTTATTACGACGTAATCATAAAGCTTCAGAGGAAATTAAACAATTAACTGGTCAGGTTAGTTATTTACTTCATATATATATATATATATATATATATATATATATATATATATATATATATATATATATATCGCCCTCGGACGCCCAACTCGTCGTTTCCCATCTGGATTCCACTCGAGTGCCTGACATGGAGCGTGATATCCCCGAATGGTCTTCTCAGTGCATACCCAATCCATCTCCATTTCCTTTCAGTGCATATTTGTTGAGCGATAGACTCTTAGTTGGTTCGTTGCCCGGTCATAGTTCCTTATTGCTTATTCTTTCTATCCACTTGATCTTCAGTATCGATCGTAGTCAGCATTGTAGAAGCATTGACTTGACATTGGTGTTGAAAATCTCGATCTTGTTCATGCTTCATGCTGAGTGGAGTGCAGTAGATCTCTACACTGATTTCAGATGAATACAGGAAGGCCCGTCTTGCTGTCTTTCCGATCCTGGCTGGCTTTGACGTCCTCATCTGTGTCGTCTGTAGTTGAAACCATGGTGCCTAGGCAGGTAGGTAGGTGAAAGAGACTACTTCGTTTAGGTTTCTCCCGTTAATGGTGATTGGAGCTTGTTGTTGTTGGTGGTGTCGTTGGTTGCGTATCTTCAACTGTCACCTCTGTCTTCTCTACGTTCACTTGAAGTTCCGTCTTCGCTGCTTTGCCTCTCCTGTCAACTTGTTAGTTTTTACCTGTAGATCTTCGAGTTTGTGTGACATTAGATACAAGTCATTGGCGACATCCAAATCTTCTTGTGGGATATTTTCATCGGTCCAGTCAGCGTATGATCATCTTCTCACTCCTCACTGTTTCCTGCATGATCCATTCCACCACAATCAGGAATATCATGGGTGATAGTAGACAGCCTTGTTTTACTCCTTCTTTATCTTTACCTTGACCTTGTTTCCGGTGTTATTTGATCATTTGATCTTCTTAATAATCGCAACTTTTAACAAAACATTTTCAGTTTACTCTAATTAACTTGTCTCATTTATATTACTTAATCCTTTGATTGTTTATTCACGTTCTCACCCACTTTTTAATGTGTATACACTTTATAAACGATTCGAAAGTCTTACATAACGCCTTTTTAGGGATTTGGAAATATGTCAAGTTGTTATTCATCTTAGACTGACATCAGTTGAAGGGACAAAGGAAACCTTGGAGAACTGGACAGTTGTTTCGTCCTAGTATGGTACTCCTCAGCAGTGAGCACTCACGACCTCTCCAGGTATCGAACTCGTGACCTTCAGGTTCCATGGCCAGCACTTTACCATTGAGCCACTAAGTCAGAATCCAATCGTCCATATTTCCAACTTCTGTTAGCTCCCAGGTTTCCTTTGTTCCTCCAACTTATGTTAGTCTACGATGAATAACAACTTGAAGTAACCCTTTTTTGTTATCATTCGACTTTTACCTCATCAACTAGCAACGTTTTAACTATCACCACCATTATTATTGTTTCAATCCCCATTATTTCAGTTAGTTTGCTCATAGATTACAGTCTTTAATATCATATATATATATATATATATATATATATATATATATATATATATATATATATATATATATATATATATATAGATATATATATACGAATGTACAGCTTGAGAATAACTTCGTTAAAAAGAGTCCTCTTCCCTGAATATCTTGTTTTTGATAAACAATATTACTATTCCAGTTTAGAATTTTAATTATCTGTAAAATGAAATTTCTTCCCAAAAATTTGATCTGTTAGTAGTTGTTTCATGTACATCTATGGTTCAGCAATGGTAAATCACTGTTTGAGCACAGTCAGACTAAAACACTGTAGAACGTGCCCTCCCCCCCTCCCCGCCACCTAGATGCATCAGCTCAACTTGCTACACATCACAATGATTAACAAAGAACCGTTGGATAGAAAAGGATTGATGTCAAATTAGATAAAGTTGTGTTGGAGAAGAAACAGTCTGAAGATAACATTGAGGGCGAATATTCAAACTTTAAAGGATGTCAAGAAGTGACTACATATGCGGTACCATTGTGACCAATTTTCTGCCATGTCATCAAGAATCGTCCTTAAGGACGGATTCTTATCATTTTGGTGACATCAGTCAGGGATTTCATCGACTAAGGCCAGTTCTTCATTTCAGGTTGTATAGCCGATCATTCCTCGATTATATTTGTATGGTAACATGATGAGTATTATCATGTTACTCCTCATATATCTGCTCTTCACCGAATTGAGTGGGAATTTGAGAATGTTTGAGATGTGTTTCTCACCATCCAAATCCAAATTGTTGCTCCACAATTGGTCTTCAACAGTGCTTCAACTTACAGTCTATTAAGGGTGGCGCGTGTACTGCCCAGAAGTCCAATCTGTTCTACTCTATGACTGTGAAACATGCCCATTCAAGGTGGAAGACATGAGAAGGCTGGCTTCAGATGTTTGACCACGGTTGCCTTCGTAGTGTAGGTTGTATTCCATAGTGTCACCATGTGAGTAACGCAGAAGTAAGTCAGTGTCAGGTGTAGAGTTTTAGGGAGAAGAGGTGAATCAGTTGTGAAATTTCTTTGACTGAGATAGGTGGTTGGGACATGTGTTACACATGCCTAGTTGCTGATTGTCTCGTCATACAATGTTAGCCGAAGTAGGCCTAGACTGGAAAAAGGCTCGAGGTTGCCAGAGTAAAACATGGAATCAATATATGAAGTGTTTGACTGTTGGTTTGAGTCATGTGGGGTGATGTAGACGTGGTGGTTGGGGTCCATGGGACAAGAGATACCAGTGGTTGGAGATTGACTGTAGGTGATCACATGGCTGAGAACCGATGTGAGTGGTGCAAATGTATACATACATTATCCTTACGATTTTCTACTGCTTGTTTTCTCTCTTTAATAGTTTATATTTGTTTTGAGTGAATTTTGTTTTCTTTATCTTCCACTTGAGTTCCTTGTTTACTTGATGTTGTGATATGAATTGTGGTAAGTTTTACCGTTACGCGATAATGCCTGGTTCTCCTATGTCGGTCAGTGATGATGATGATACTTCACGAAATCCAAACGTATTCCTCCTATACGAACATTAGTAAAATCTTGATGTGATCCATATGGAGCAGACATTCTACTCCCTGACTGGGGTCTCAGACGATAAGAATCGCTGGTTGAGGAGGACTTCTGGTGATATACTTGAAAATCGATCACAATGATGCCGCAGATGTATTCATTTCTTGACATCTTCTGAAGCTTGAATATTTGCAAGATTGTTTCTTCTATTACATAATTGTATCCACTTGGATATTACTCTGATTGTGCGCACTTATTCTGCGTATACTACTTTGAACACTAGCTACTTGAAGCGATGTATTTTACTGCTAGATTTTACGTTGATTTTATCTGTTTGTCTAACTTACTAAGGTCTGGACAACCCAGGTATCATCATTGGCCTCTGTATAAAAACTGAGTCTAATTGCCTTCTACACGAATGTACACAAGACTGCTGAGTCGATACAGAGTTTATCCGTTGTATACCACAACTTTCTAAATAACTATCTGCATATATTTAACGGTCTAATGTCGCACAAACTCGAAGATCTGCATACAAAAGTAACAAGTTGGGAGAAGAGGCGGGGTAGCGAAAACGGGACTTCAGGTGGACGTAGAGGAGACAAAAGTGAGGAAGATACCCAACCAACAACAACAAGCACCAATCACCATCATCGGGAGAAACCTGAAGGAAGTTGTCTCTTTCACCCACCACCTAAACAGCCTCGTTTCAACTACAGGTGGCGGCGGCACAGATGAGGACGTCAAAACTAGAATCGGAAAGACAGCATGACAGGCCTTCCTGCATTAATCTGAAGTCAGTGTGGAAATCTACTGCACTGCACTCCACTCAACATAAAGCGTGCATAAGATCCGGATTTTCAACACTAAGTCAGTCATGTAGTTCAGTGCTTCTGTTTGATGGTTGAGAGACTTGGGGCGTTACAAAAGGCATTTCCAACAAACTACAGATATTCGTCAACAGCTGTCTACACTTCAAACTGTTGATCAGATGGTGATAATAATAAAAGTAAGCAGCAAGGAACTGTGGCTGGCAACGAACCAACCAATAACCCCATCGCCTAACAAATATGTAGAAAAGGAAAGTGGAGATGGATCGGATTGGGCATACACTGAGAACGCCATTTGAGGACATCACGCACCAGGCCCACGAGTGGAACCCAAAGGGAAACGACGCTTTGTGCATCCGAGGGGGGATATGAAGGAGAACGTGCGAAGAAAACATGAAAGGTTATAGGCAGTCGTGGCGACAGGTTCAAAAGATTTTAGAGAACAGAGTGCAATGGAGACGTGCTACGGAAGGCCTATGTTCCACTAGGAACCCAAGAGACAAATAATTATGACGATCAAGATCGACTTCAAAGAATTGAAAAGGATTAAGAACAACAATAGGAGCTAAGTAAGATGGATCCACTTTATTTGAGTGGTATCTTGTCACTTACCGTCTGCTTACAACGTAGAATATCAAGATATACAGTTAGTTGTACTGAAAATTTTGGCCATCGGGTAGTCGCCCAGCCGTCGCTGGTTCGAACCCATCCGCGGTTCAAATCTTCAATTCACCTTAAATCATCATCCAATATCAATACTAGTCTGCTAAACTACAGCTGGTATCTCAGATAGTCAAAAATGATAATCAAGATGATACTCCTCCTCACATTCTAATTCACTTATATTTGTAATGGGATGAGAAGTTCTGATTAAGCAACCAGTGGGGGAATACAATCAAGCCAAAGTAACGCATCACGAATTCATATAGTAGTCGGGTCAAACCTATAGTGATTGAATTGAAATAAAAATTTGGTTAGTAGTCGGACATCGTAGCTGAGTTGATAAAGCATCTGAGCAGGTAACCCGATGGTTACTGGTTATAATCCTGTCGTGGTCGAAATTTTCATTTCACTTTCAATCATCATCCAGTATATATCCTTTTATTCATTATCAGCAATATTGATTGAATAGTTGA